ATGCTTGCTTCACAAAGATGTGCTTTTAACAAAGGAGGCTTGGGGTATAACCAGTTTTCAAATGAAAAACCTTTTAACAAAGTTCATGAACCTTCCATTAATTCAAAAGCACTTCATAAAAAAATGTGGTTATTGCAAATATATTGGTCATAGCACACACACGTCCTATGAGGAAGGGCAAAATCAAAAGGGTTTGGATTCCTAAAGGAATGCTTAAGACTACCTCCCATTGACCCAAGTCCATTTGGATACCAAAAAGTGCATAAATGCCTTTATTGTGTAGGTATATGTTGAAGTAATGAAGTTTGGAGCAAACAAGTGGTTTCTTGATAGCGGATGCTCAAGACATATTATGGGAGACAAGAGCTTGTTCACCACAATGAAGCCGAAAAGTGGAGGAAATTTTACTTTCAGCGACAACTCAAAACGAGTGGTAGCTGGAAGCTTGCTTAAGTAAGCTATAACTTGTAGCTACCGAGCTATAATTGGGTACGAGCAAGCAATGCTCGGTGGAGAGAGGTAACTAGACAATTTTCCCGTAGATCATAGATAAGTCTTATCCCCTAGAATCAAGGAGAGAATTTCGGCCTCTTGTCAAGCAAGCTTGGATTGAGCACGATTACACCAATCACGGGATTAACTTACTATGTATAAGCCACAATCCCTAAAATCACTCCACTTACCATTATTAATTTCATTGTATAAATAACCCTAAGAAACTCATTGTAAGGGGTTAGCAAATTTAGAGAGATAAAAAGAGTGTTTATTCTTGTAATCCTTCATATTCAATACAAGAACAATAGATGGCTTGAGAGTTAGCTGGCCAAACTACTTTAAAAAGAATTATTGTGTTTTAATTTAATCTTATTTGCTGATTATTTATAATCACGTGGCAACCCGATTTGATTCCATCAAGGTCAATCGGATCTCTCTAGTTGTGCAATTTTTCGTATCAACAATTCTAAAATCATAGTAGTTTCCATCAGCTATATAAACAAATAAAAATATGCACAATTAGTATAAAGAATAAATGTAAAGAAAGAAACAAAACAAACGAAAGCAACAATAAAATAGCACAAAAAGAAATATAAAGTACAAGCAATAAAAGCACACAACTACCTTTATCAAACTAGTTGCTTCAATCATCACAATAATAACTGCCAGATTATCAACCTCAAAGTCATTGGTAGCAACAACATGAACTTGATAAATTCTTTTTCCCAACGACTTGGCCCGGTTTGGTAGATTATTTGAAAATGTTATTATGAAAAACTATTTTAAGTTGAGTTGAGTTGGATTAAATGGAATAGGATAGGTTTCTGAGAAAGTGTTTGGTATAATATTTGAAAATTATATCAAAGTTAGATAAAATGTCGAAAAGTTCTTTGGTACATTTTTGGAACACATTTTCTGAAAACATTTAGATTATTTTTACAACCCTACATTTGTTAATTTAGCTAAAAACCCTCCACAATAAAAGTTTAAAAATTAACAAAAACACCACCATCCACCCAAGCCACTACCAGTCGTCGGCCACCACCGTCAAACGATAGCCGACAGTCGTCAAAACCGTGCACGACCAACTGAATTTGACCAGTCATGCATCAATCTAGTCTTTTCTAGCTAGATCCACTGTGCATCTAACCGTGTCCGATGATTTTCGACTGGATCTGACCAATTGTGTGCCAATCTGGCCTTTTCAACCAGATCCACAGTGGATCTAGCCAAAAATTGCCAAATCTATAGCCATAATTTGGCTGTTGTTGACGGTCAGATCTCTAACCATCATTAACGACCAAAATGTAACCACCATCAACGACTAGATCNCGGTTCCGGTTCCTTTTTTTGGGAACCTGTACTGTGCGGTTCCGGTTCTGGTTCCCCGGAAAAGTGCAGGGTACCCGGAACCGCTCACCCCTAATCTGAACCCAAGAACGCAGATTTATGTCTGGCTAAGTTGTCCCAGAGAGACAAACAAAATCCTGAGATCTCCAGGATCGTCGAAATAATTGGTTACATGGCTCTAGAGTGGGGTGTCAATCTTCCCGTCACTTCCAAGGTTTATGTTTGTAGCTATGGAGTGGTGATGCTTGAATGATGATGAGGAGCAAGAAGCTGAGTTGACGAGAATTGTCAGAATAGTTAAAAGGAAAATGCGATCTGGGGAGAACTGGATAGAGGAGATGGTTGATCCAGGAGTGAATGGAAAGTTTAGCAGAAACCAGGCTGCAAAATTGGTCAAAATTGGCATATCTCGTGTTGAGGAAGATAAAAATGTAAGCCAAAATGGATTTAATAGTCCAGCCGCTTTCTGTAAAGCTGATGCTGAAATGCTTTCTCTTGACAATGTCTAACTCCAACGGCTGATATGACAGTCAAAGAGTCAAAAGGGTTGCTCAATTAGAATGTAAAGCTGATGCTGAAATGCTTTCTATTGACAATGTCTAACTCCAACGGCTGATATGACAGTCAAAGAGTCAAAAGGGTTGCTCAATTAGAATGTAAAGCTGATGCTGAAATGCTTTCTATTGACAATGTCTAACTCCAACGGCTGATATGACAGTCAAAGAGTCAAAAGGGTTGCTCAATTAGAATGTAAAGCTGATGCTGAAATGCTTTCTATTGACAATGTCTAACTCCAACGGCTGATATGACAGTCAAAGAGTCAAAAGGGTTGCACAATTAGAATGTAAAGCTGATGCTGAAATGCTTTCTATTGACAATGTCTAACCCCTACGGCTGATTTGACAGTCAAAGAGTCAAAAGTTTGGCTCAATTCTTTAAGTTAATAAGTTTAAACCTTAACGATTATTATCATAATAATATTACGATTTATCTAGTTTTTTAAGTTTGTAGACTATGCAATAAACCTTGAGAATTAATTTTCATATACTCAAGTTGGCCAATGGTTCCATGATCACCAGAAAACATTAAATGAGAATAATCAAGCAAAGAATTTTTTTCAGTTCTTTCATAATGTAAAGCTGATGCTGAAATGTTTTCTCTTGACAATGTCTAACCCCTGTGATTGATTTGTCAGTCAAAGAGTCAAAGAGTCAAAAGGGTTGCTCAATTCTTTGAGTTCATGAGTTTAAACCTTAATGTTACTTATCATAATAATATTATGGTTTATCCAGTTCTTTAAGTTTGTAAAGTGTTCAATAAACTCCGAAAATTAATTTTCATATACGCAAGTTGGCCAGTGGTTTCATGATCACCAGAAAACATTAAATGAGAATAATCAACCAAAGAATTTTTTTTGTGTGTATTTTTTTAGATTTCATGCCCTTTTGGCTAAGATAAGAATAAGGACCATAATCTTCAAACTACACGTTCAAATGTTGAGGATGTTGGGTTGGCATAATCTTCTGTTTATATTTTAAATCTTGTGTAAATCTTATCTCTTGAAACTCTTATCTCTTGTAACAATTCTAAATATATATACATGAGTTTACACTCTTCTCTGGTAAGCAAAACCAGATTTATTCTAGTTCTTTCATGGTATAAGAGCCATCTATAGCTAATGCTTTTGTCGATCCTATGGCTTCTGTTGCAGAATCTTCGCCTTCTTCCGCTGCATTTCATCTTCCTTCTCAGGTCATTTCCATCAAACTTGATGGAATCAACTTTCTTGCTTGGAGTGCTCAGTTACTTCCCTTGTTTCGTAGCTATGGTCTCACGGGAATCGTTGATGGTTCCGAACCCAGTCCTCCTCAATTTTCCAGCGCTGAAAATAAGACCCAAGGTATTCTTAATTCTGCTTATATGGTTTGGCAGTATAAGGACCAAACGGTACTTGGCTGGATTGTTTCTTCTTTATCTCCTGCAGTTATCTCCACCATCTATGGTCTTGAGACTTCTCGGCTTGCTTGGCAAGCCCTTGGCGCACGGTTTGTTGCACCCTCCACGTCTCGCATTTCTCTTATTAAGAGAAAGTTACAATCTGTACAACAAGGCTTCATGTCTTGTCGAGATTTTTTGGATGAGGTTAAATCCCTTGCTGATGAATTATCTGCCGTTGGGAAACCAATTGATGACTCCGATTTGATTCTCTCTGTTCTCAATGGTCTCAACTCCTCTTTCTATTCCTTTGTAACAACATATATGCTCCTTGCTAAGGAGAAATCTATGCCTTTTTCTGACTTCCATGCAGAGCTGTTGAACTATGATCTTATGCAGAAGTTTCATAGTCAAACCATACAACCGGAGGCGGGACCATATGCCCTCTACTCGCATAAACCTGGTTCAAGACCAGGATCTCGTAACAGCAACAGCAGGTCCCGTTTTTCCGGTGTGTCCAAAGGTTCGGGTGGTTTTTCTTCTCATTTTTGGCAACCATTGCCTCATCTGCCCTCCTCGTCACCTGCTGTTGCTCAGTCTATCTCTCGCTCTCGGTCTCCCTGTCAAATATGCAAACAGGAAGGTCATCAGGCACTAGACTGCTTTAATCGCATGAACTACTTGTTTCAAGGGCGTCATCCTCCAACTGATTTAGCTACTATGGTTGCTGAGGCTAACACCACTTATCTCAATCAAAATCAATGGTATGCTGATAGTGGTGCAAACATTCATGTTACCTCCGATATTGTCAATCTTGCAACCTCTCAACCATATGACAGTGATGACTCAGTGGGTGTAGGTAATGGTACAGGTTCGGTTATTTCTCGGACTGGCACTGCTTCCATTCAAACTTCATCTTCTACTCTCAAATTAAATAACGTTGCTTATTGTCCTCAAGCTTCTCCTCATCTTCTCTCCATTAATAGATTTTGTAAAGATAATAATGTTCTCTTTGAACTCATTGGTTCTTGTTTTTTTGTGAAGGACATCCTGACGGGAGACACAATTCTGACGGGGCCAAGTGATAATGGATTGTATCCGATCAACCTTCATCAACTTTCTTCACCCAAGTTTCATGCTCTCACCATGACTGTGGATCCGAGTCAAAATATACACCGACATGACCACTTTCTGAGCTAACCGAACTATATAGATATCCATCAAATCATCAACAGTGTCGCATCATATTCATGCAAGATGTCAATGTCACAACTCCAAAAAATTCTATTCGGAAAAGTATCCTCGTAAAAATTTACGACACCACCACTTCCAAATCCAACCGACCTATAGCCATTAAATCCACCATCAGTACAGCCACCACCAGCAGAAACTTTGAAACCATCACTGCTAAAACTTCCCAGTATTTTCATTGTCAAAAGTATTTCCACCTGAAAAGTTTCCGCCGAACCCTGTATTTGTATCTGGTTCACTTTCACACCGCGACCAGCAACACCATCACTGCTAAAACTTTCCAGTATTTCTGTTGTCAAAACTGTTTTCATCTGGAAAGTTTCAGAACCAAGTATTTCTGGCTTATACACTTTCACACCACCACGACCAGAAACACCATAATTGCTACTGTTAAAACCTTCAGTATTTCCACCACCATAGTTATCAGCTCCCTCGTAACCAGAAACATTGAAATTACCATCACTGCTAAAACTTCCCAGTATTTCCGTCAAAACTATTCCCCCCTGGAAAGTTCCCGAATCCAGTATTTCTATCTTGTACACTTTCACACCACCACCACCAACAACACCATAATTGCTACTCTTAAAACCTCCAGTATTTCCACCACCATAGTTCCCAGCTCCCTCCTAACAAGTATTTCTGCCACCAAAACTACTGGGGTAATTTCCTCCACTTCCAGAGTTGTCACCACCACCATAACCAGCATTATTACCACCATAACCACCTCCACCTCCATTAACACCAGCACGAGCTCTATCAGCCGCATAATTCACTCTTACACGACGACCATGAAGATGCTGTAACAATAATAATTTTTGAAGAAAATTACAAAAGTGCAGTTGAAACAAAAGATATGTTTTGCTATGGTTAAATCAGAGGGTGCAATAAACCATTAATTAATAAATCAATAAAATGTAGAAAATGGCATATTATGAAACAAAAATATATTAGCTCTAGCAACTGATAGTTGGGTCCCTATTAAGAATGATCTTGATATGGCAGAAGCACAGGAACAAAATGTATCCAATGTCACCTGTCCAACCAAGGCCTGCATGGCACTAGAGGCCTCCTCTTCAGAGCTGTATGTAACAAAGCCAAATCCTTTGGATCTACCGGTCTCGCGATCCAAAATCACTCTAGTTGAAATGAGAGAAAGCTATAAGCATTTTTGCCAAAATGGAAGCAAAATCAATTTGTATCTTATCCATGAACTTCAACTGCATAATTCAAAAAATTCCTTCCCTCCATCCATCCGATAAATTCTCAAGTTCATGTTAGGAACAGTTTAATTATACCCACAACATAAGAATATAACATCGGCTAAGCAAAGTACTCACCTTCAGCAACATAACCATATTTACTGCATGCTTCTCTTAGACTTTGGTGATCAGTGTTATATGAAAGTCCTGCAACAAAAAACAAGTTGAAAATTCTCAATTGAAAAACCACCAAAAGAAAAAAAGAACCACCGTATAAGGGCTCAAAACTGTTGGACACACCTCCAATGAAAAGTTTTGAAGATGACATGCATCGTATTGCTTGGTAGATGGAGGGTTTCGATCGATGCAGATATTTCACCTGCTAGCAGTCTGCCTAAGTATTCTCCCAACCTTACCGAAGAAGGCCATTATAGTAACCTAAAAAAACATAGAAACATGAAGCTTCAAATTCAATTGAACAACTGTTTAGAAGAACAAAAAAAGAAATCTAAGAATGTAGATGGTCAGTTGCATGCTTATCACCATATCAGTAAAAACCATAAACCAATCAGCTTTAATAAAATCCAAAACTTTCATTACAATATGTAAAGCAAGAAGTCCATAGACATAAAGCTTTCACATGTTTAATTCAAACACATATAAATCATATTCCCAATACAACTAACGATATTCACAAACAAAGCACCCATTACAAAAACATCTTCACATAAAGCAACATAAATTTTTTATCAAACCAACATCATAGATTAAGTTATCCAGGCAAACCCTTTTTATTAAAGAAAATAATAAGCTCCTTTTGTTTCCATCACGATTTTATTTCCACTCTCCCGACTTTCTCGGCAACCAAACACTAAAATCTAAAAGAAAAACACTATTAAAAAATAAATAAATAATACCCTAATAAATTGCGAATTGAACAACTCTATAGTCTATACGCTTTGAAGATAAAGAGAGAAACGGAAACAAAAACAAAGATAATGGAAGGAAAAGAATGAAGCGAAATCTATGGAAAAATTAGGGTTTTGGGAAGAATCAATTGATTATGGACAAAATTACCGTTATTATAATTTCCACACTCACAGAAACGCAAATCAGAGAAAATCAAAACGCAAACAAACAACCAATTGAAGAGCAAAATTTCTTCAGTTTCGATTGAACTGAGTTCTCGCTTAGGTATTACTTCTGGTTAAGAGGCGATTACACTCTGATTTGTTGTTGCTTTGATTCCAGGATTGGAAGAAGAAAGATTGAGTTTTGGGTTGAAAAGTCCTCCACTTTCCATTGTAAAGGTATGTGATTCGTTTCATCCAAACTTAATAAATGCATTCCTTATTGTTTGTTGTATGGTTATTGAGATTTTTGTTGCATTTTAAGGTTAGTTGTTGTTGATATTCGTGGATGTTATTTGAAAACTTTGGTTGATATTAAAATATGGGAAAAAAATCTGCTGAAACTGGGTATGGTGAATCCAATCTATCGGACTTATGGCCGCTACAGTCTTATTTGCTAGCGTTTTGGAGATGCCAGTCTTGTTAGCTTGGTCCGACTAGACTCTAGTGATGTTAATTATCAAATTGATTAATAATTTAATTTATTAAATAACTATTGAAAAAATTGGATTAAATTAAGTAATTAAAAATAATATTCACATAATTATTCACATTAAAATTTCAATTAATTAATATACCTAGAATTAAGAAAAAAATATATATACTTATTTAATACATACACTATTATCGAGTAAAGTTTAATTAATTAACATTTTTTTTTAAAGTATCTGAGATATTCAGGCCTACATTGGAGCCTTTTAATCCTCAAGGACATGGAACACCCTACAAGTCCAATGGACTAAGGTAATTACACAAATGTGATAAATACCTCTCCTACGACTCGAACATAAGACGCCTTGAGTATACCTAACCACAATGACTAAAGAGTTTATTATCCGACCACAAAGGGAGATGTAATTAACATGTTATGTAAGATGAACAAACCCTATTTAATTAATTTGATAAAAAAATTTCTATAAAATAATTTACTTGAGAAAATGTTAACAAATTACTTAGATTATTGTCACAACATTTGTTAAAGAAACTAGATAAGTTTAATCATAAGTAATTATACTTTTCTCACACTTGCTCATAATTCAATTTTGATTTTATTATTAATTTAATGTATTTTTTTTTTTTCATAGAGTAAAGCAAAAATGTCTCTTACTTTGAAAAATTAAGAAGTACGTGTTTCGAGAAATTTTTAGATGTGAATATGAAGTTTCAAGGGACACTACTACACAATGTATTATTGAGAGAATACACGTTCCTTATACTTTGCCAATGGAGATTTGGTTTGAGGTTGATGGTAAGAAACTTAGATTTGGACATTAAATTTTGGAACTATTCCAGAAGAAAAATCAAATGACTATACAAAGGAGCACGAGGTTGTGGAGAAAACCAAGTCAAGGAAAGAGATTATAAGGTGGAAAAGGGTAGGGACACCGGATACATAGCCTAAGAGATAATTAATTTAGGGGGCATGAATATAATTTTTTATCACTAGAGGTCTGGCCTCCTTTTCAGAGCTGTATGTAACAAAGCCAAATCCTCAGGATCTACCAGTCTCGCGATCCAAAATCACTCTAGCTGAAATGAGAAAAAGCTATAAGCATTTTTGCCAAAACGGAAACAAAATCAACTTGAACTGCAATTTTATGACAATAACAGTCTTGGGAGGGAGAGAGATTAAAACACGGCCCCTGTCCTCTCTCTTCCACCCCCTCTTCCCCCAATGCAACATGCACACACAGTCAATTAATCAAACAATGTTCCTTGTGTAAAATACATTCATATTCCAATATTCATATAAAAGTGATAATACAATCAATTTCAATATAAAATCTCCATAAAATATATGCAGAAGTAAATGACAAACCTCCAACCATAGCAATTGTTGTTTGATCTTCTTGCTCCTTTAAAAATTACAGGATCTTCCACTGACTGCAATTTTAGAGTGATGGTTTTGAAAACTAAAAGTCAAAATTGCGTCTATGGGGACCTGTAAAGTCTCCTTCTTATATGCAGTTGTCTTTCCATCAAAGACAACTGCTCAAGAGACACAACCGTATGACCACATCAGTCCACATCAGCAAGGACCAAAATGTAATTATATGAGAAGTGTAGGACCATATTGCAAAGAGTCTAACATTCCCACACTTGGTCCAAACTTGTATAATATAATCCAGAACACAAGAGATGTATATGTGGTATGTTCAATTAGAAAGGGAAAATTACATGAATCATAGCAGTAAGTCCCTTTTAAACAAGTATTACCTTACATGTATTACAATGCAATTTTTCTCTTTCTAAATAAACGCTTAAATGTGGAATATCACTTTATGAACAAACCTCAAATGTTTGTTCTAGGTCCTCTAGAATGTTTGTTTGTCTCCAACCAAAATGTATACAACTTAAAAGAGAAAACAAACTAAATTACAAAGTTTCAGACAATGAAAGTATTACCTCTCATAGTGACAAAGCGGGACATAGTCCCATTTGGACAACATGATCCTTGAACGTCTTTGGTGGCATGCCTTTCGTTAGAGGATCAGCAATCATCTGCTCAGTATGTATGTGTTCAATGAGCACTTCTTTGGCTTTAACGTGCTCCCTTATTGCTAAGTACTTAATGTCGATGTGTTTACTTCGACTTCCACTCTTATTATTCTTAGCAAAGAATACAGCAGCTGAATTGTCACAATATAACTTTATTGGCCTAGAGATAGACTCAACAACTCCAAGCCCAGAAATGAAACTTCTCAACCAAATACCCTGTGTAGTTGCCTCAAAACAGGAAACAAACTCAGCTTCCATGGTAGAAGTGGCAACTAAAGATTGTTTGGCACTTCTCCAAGATATAGCACCTCCGGCGAGCATAAAAACATATCCGGATGTTGATTTTCGAGAATCAACGCATCCAGCAAAGTCTGAGTCTGAATATCCGACGACTTCTAAAATGTCGGAACGTCTATAAGTAAGCATGAAACCTTTAGTTCCTTGAAGATACCTCATGACCTTCTTTGCAGCTCTCCAATGATCCAAACCTGGATTACTTTGATATCTTCCTAACATGCCAACTGCAAAAGCGATGTCAGGTCTAGTACAGACTTGAGCATACATTAGGCTTCCAACAGCTGAAGCATAAGGAATAGTTTTCATTTGTTCCTTTTCAATCTCAAGTGTAGGACATTGGTTCAGATTGAACCTGTCACCCTTAACAATGGGTGCAACACTGGGTGAACAATCTTTCATCCTAAATCTCTCAAGAATTTTATTAATATAGGCTTCCTGAGATAGTCCCAAAACATGTCGAGGCCTATCCCTATGAATCTTAATGCCAATGACATAAGACGCCTCACCCATATCCTTCATACTAAAATGTTGAGAGAGAAATTGTTTCACCTCATGTAGCAAACCCAAATCATTGGTTGCAAGTAGAATATCATCTACATATAACACAAGAAAAATGATTTTACTCCCACTAACCTTATGGTATAAACACTGATCCATGACATTCTCTAAAAAACAAAATGAAGAAATAACAGTGTGAAATCTTAAATACCACTGTCGGGAGGCTTGTTTAAGTCCATAAATAGACTTCTTAAGCTTGCAAAACAAATGCTCACCATCACTTGAAATAAACCCATCACGTTGTTTCATATAAACCTCTTCCTCCAAATCTCCATTGAGAAAAGATGTTTTCACATCCATTTGATGTAAATCTAAATTGAAATGGGCAACTAATGCCATTATGATACGAAAGGAATCTTTTTTAGAAACTGGAGAAAACGTTTCCTTATAATCTATTCATTCCCTTTGTGTGAACCCCTTGGCAACAAGTCTAGCCTTGTATCTCTCAATGTTGCCTAATGAATCCTTTTTGGTTTTAAATACCCATTTAAAACCAATAGGTTTCTTTCCAGTAGGCAACTCAACAAGGTCCCAAACTTCATTATCCGCCATAGAATTCATCTTGTCTATCATGGCATTATACCATAACTCAGATTTACTACTGTTCATAGCTTGTAAAAACGTGTCTGGATCATCCTCAATACCTATGTCACAGTCAGACTCTTGCATATACACTTCATAATCAGTAGGAATTGCTGATCTCCTTATTCTAGTAGATCTTCTTAATGTTGTATCAACAGTCTCTTGTTGAGACTGTTGCACAACTGGTTGTTCCTCCTGTAATAGAGGTTGTTCAAAATGATCTTCTAAAACAATCTCATCAGAATGTGGATTTTGATTGAGTGGTTCCTCATTATTCACCCTGTTTGGATGAACAACCCATCGTTTTCTTAATGTAGAAGCATTGTCTAAAACATCAAGTTTCTCAGGGACTGAGTCTCTGAT